AGGCTGAGAAAAAATTCTGGTGTTCTTTGGTCTAATGAAATAACACATGATGAAGCACTGGCATAGGTTGCCCAGAGAAGCTGCGGAATCTTCATCCTTGGAATATTCAAAACTGGACTAGGTAAGGCTGTGGGCAAACCTGTCTAGCTTTGGAGCTAGACCTGCTTTGAGCAGGGGGTTGGACCAGATGGCCTCCAGAGGTCCTTTGCAACCTAAATTATTCTATAATTCCATATGCATTGAATCAGTAATACCTTTTTGAAAGAGATCCTACCTCAAGCAGAATTTTTGGGAAAGTTTTTAAAATGCCTTTTTAGGTAAGTACTCAGAGAAAATCTCACTAGACTTCAAACAAACTTAGAATGATCCCTAGGCTTTCCTCTGAGAAGTAATTCTGCTGTGAACCTGAGGGACTTCTCTCCTTCAGCTTGCCAGCTGGAGAAAGGCAGACAAAACCTTCCAACAAGCTTAAGCCGTGACATTTCTGTCACCTCAAGAGTGGAGAAAACAGACAGGAATGAATGTTATGGATCTTTAAAGTGTAATACACTGGAACAGACAAATGGATAAAAAAAATGAAAAACAACAGCTGGATGAAAAAGAGAGAATTTAAGACAAAAGCACTAATAATAAGCCATACTAAAATTCTCCTCTTGTCTTTCCACAGCAGTGTCTAGCAATGTTATTAGACGTGTAGCACACCAAAGGCAAGCGTACATTTGGAGGCAAAAGACAGTCAGGGTCTCCTCTCAGAGGACACACTGTCAGACACTTTTAAGAAAGGTGTTTACTTGGAAGCAATCATTGGATTTGGATAGTTTTGCCAAGCAGATAATCTCCCCACAGTAAACTGTAGTTGCAATCACCAGAAATGGTTTGGCTTGCATCCCTTCTGCAGTTCTTTCAGTCTTTGTACAGTCTAAGCAGATGGGGATAAGGTGTTTTCAGCAAAGGCTTTCTGAATCTGTGGTCTGCTGATGACTAGTCCCGTTAGAGCCTAAGTATGTCAACCTCTGTGCTTACTCCTAAAGCCATCGTTCTCTTCTGCCTGTTTGCAAAGGGCTAGGACCTGAATTTTCCAGTCAGTAAGTACTGTGTGGGTTATTCTGTGCACGTCTGCACTAGTCTAGAAGGTATAATCTGCCTTACCTCTGTGGTTGTTTGTGAGCCTACACCATGAGATAGGTGTTCAGCGTTGACTGAAAGCAGCCAGCTCCCCTCCTTTATATATATATTTAAAATAACATAGCTGTTTTTTTATTTTTAAATGACCTTTTGACACCTAGATACTTTGACTACGATGAGAAATATTGATAAATAACAACAGTCACTTCTCAGACTTCCATTTTTTATTATTCATTCGTCCTTTGGAAGCAAGGTCGGTTTTCAGTTGAAACTGATGTTATTTAGGAAAAAAAATTCCAAAAAGTATGAGTTTTTACCTCCATATTCTGGCCACTTTTGTAGAGCTGAGGTACAGCAATTAACAATTCAGCTGGTACGTCCTTATCCAACACACCAGTAATCAGTTGTGGAAGAGAAGAGAACAGTAAATTAAAGAAGATGAGATACCACTGATCAACCATCGAAGAGCCAGAGAACCCGCAGTAGAACTGGTACCAGAAGAGAAGGGCCACAAACATCTGAAACAAAACCAGTAATGCTGTAAATACAACTTGTCTGGAATTTAAGACAAAGAGGGATCATCATCCCATTGTGTTCTGAAATCATTCTGATTCCAGCTTCTGCAAGGATGTATCTACGACCTCTAAACACATAAGCAATCCTTCTGAAGATGCTTAGTCTTTAACATACTGTTCTGGATGACCAGACCACTTAACTAAGCTACAATTTGGCACATGTGGAAATCTTTGTGCCACTGGAACCTCAGATATCCTGAGTCAGGGATGGCTTCACAAGAAATCAACTTTCAATTCAAGCGGAACTCTCAGATACAATTTAGCTCACCACAAAAAGCTTTCCAAACCATCGCTGACCGCTAGGTATATGAGCACTGATCCCATAGCACTTATATTACTGTCATAAGAATAACCATTTCCATATTATCTTCTGCTGGCTTGAGATGTTTCTGGAGGCTCAGCTGATCTACAAATGGTAAATGCAGAGCTTTTTCAAGACTGTCATGGGACTATTAGCAGCAAGGGAGGTGAAACTATAAGGTCTAACAAAGTTATATTTAACTATTCCGATTTCTGTGCTTTGAATTTCAGCAAATTAACAGTGCTCTAAAGATTCTTCAGTCTTCCTGTCCTCTTCACGTGAATGAAGAAATCAGTCGCATACATCGCTGCTGGAATAACCCAAATTGGTATGAAATATACAACTCCTTTCTTCTACCATCAGTACAGCGTGGAAAATTCAGAGTTTTTTGGGGTTCACGAGAGGTGCCGATCTCATCTGTGATGGAGGATTTGAGCCCTAGGAAAAGATGGGCACCTTCCTAGGGAAGGAAGTAAATTACTAAGACTTGGTCCTCCTAAAACCGTAATTTATATAATCCTTCATAAAGTGATAAACACTAAATGGAAGTCTACTAGAAAAACCTGGGCAACAATCCCTCAGGGGCTTTCCCCATTTTAGCCACGAAGAAAGGGAAATTACACGGCCTCTCCTTTCATTTCCTCTTTGTTTTATATTCCGTTTCCAAAGCTCTTACCCAGCTGGAATATATTAACCCTTCATCATCTTCAGTTTGACAAAGCAAAATGTAAATATGTTCTATCTGTATCCTAAAATGCAGGTGAAATTTAAACATGAGAGAAAAAAGCTATGGTCTGCTTAACCAGTGAAAACTGCTAAGGGGAGAGGAAGCACATCTTATAAAGGAAAATTGCCACAGAATAAGAGGGTCAACGCTGTTGTACACAGCCAGGTTGTACATATATATGTTCAGTCAGTGTTTGCGTACTACGTTGAAGTAGCTTCTATACCAGCAGCAACGTATTTCCTGCTGTTTTTGAATAAACTAACCTGTTAAAAGTTAAATGGTAGCACTTTTTAAAGGATCACCTCTGAAAGCGCTCCTATGAAGAAACATGTTTCCAAAAAAATATCTTCCCTGTCCTATGCAGGGATATGCCTTGTGTGTTCTTTGGCCACAACAAGATTGAGTTAATAGAGCTTACCATCTACACTGCAGTTGGCTGGAAGATGGCAATTACACTTCACAATTGAATAGATTTTGAAATTTATTGCCTTTCCACACCCAAAATACAACAAAACTTCCTGAGTGTTTTCTCAAAACGGAATTGGAATAATATATGGATTTAGACACTTTCTCGCATCAGAAATAATGAAAAGCTAGCTAATCTTGGGCCTCAGAAAATTTTTCTATTTAGAACTTTGCTAAAATTAACAAGTCTTGCTGAAACATTTTGGCTTTGATAAAAATGTTTATATTGATGAAAATACAGTTAGTTGAAAACTTTCCATCAGAATTTTTCTACCATCTCTAGAATGGGCCTCAGCAGTCCCGTCAGCAAAAGCTGTGCGAATAAGTGACATTTCAGTAACCAAGCTTAAATCAGATTTTTCTTTTTCTCTGAAATTTTAATTCTGGGTTAAATAGTGTTGAATTTGAGTCCAATTATGTTTCATCTTGTTTCCATGCATTACCACTCTGAAAAATAATCAGAACAAATCAAATTTAATGAAACATGCTTGTTTTGACACAAACATTGAATTAGTTTTTTTTTAAAAAACAGTTTCCTTTTTTTTTCCAGATAAGACTATTTCCTGAATTTGGGCCCAAATAGAATTTCTCAGTGAATAAAGTATAAGTCAAAAAATGTCCAGTGCTCCTTTGCACAGGTAATGTATAAAGGGAAAGCACCAGTACATGCTTGTGTTGGCAGAAGTTTGTGTATATGAGCCCCCTTTGTATCAAGCTATCTTTCCAGGCATGCTATGTTTTATGTTTTATTTGTATTTTTATTATCCCCACCAAGCCAAACATCTTCTTGAATAAGTCAACTGAGTTTCCAAATAGCTTTTACAGCAATCTGGAGTTTAAACTCAGAGTTAGATAGGTTGCACTGGAAAACAGAAAATGTCATAATATGAACAAATGGGGGAAAAAAAACTTGACAGAGTAGAAAATTTGCAGAACACGTGCAGTGTAGCTATCTCGACTCTATGATGGACAGTCATCCGGAGTAGTCTCCTTGCAAAAGGATCAGGTGCTCACACCTCACATTTTTGAATATTCTTTCCTGAAGGCAGCCACTGTGTCAAGACACGTGGCTATACACTGCATGCTCCACTACAGTTTTAGAGTCAGTAGCAACAAGTGTTGCTCATAAAGCTCTGAAGTCTGCAAAAGCAGAGCCAAGACAAAGAGAGATTCTTCAGTTATACTCTAGCCTTAAGGCAGCACTTTCTGAAAATGTCTTACTAAAAATGGCTTAAGAAATAATACTTGTAATCAAGGGGAGTTATACCGAAGGAAATGGAAGATTTTACAACAATGTATAAAAAACACCTCTGGCTGTTGATTGCTGGAATACCTTATGTGTATTACTTTAATCTTTTTTATTTTAAAGTAAGATGGCTCCGAATATATTTCTCGAAGTTGATGAGAACTGATACTGTCAAGCCAAAGGGTATCCTGAAAACATACAGAATGGGGTGTAGGGGTACAGATGTTCAGCGTCATTCAGGATGAAGTTTTAAAACTCAGGCCTTCAAACACCTGTGTTTCAACAGGTGGACCTCCACTCACAGCAGCATTATTTAAATCTGCTTGCTATTCTAGACTCAGAGAGGAATTCAGACTTTGCCAGCCCCTACCTACTTTTGTGCCTGGAAGGGTGCTTGCATGCAGTTTCTGATCAGACACAGAAGGTATTTTTTCCTGCTTGCATGTCAACACAAAGCTGGTTTACTAATTCTTTAGCTCCCTTAAGTATTCCTATGCTGTTCATAATTTTGAACAAATCATGGTCTTTTCCTGAAAAAATAACTATCTTCATATTCAGATCAGGCAGAGATTACTCAGACAGAGGGAATTTACAGGAAAAAGTTACCATGGACTAAGAAATTGAGGATTAGATGGAATTTGGAAAGCAACTTTCACAAAAATGAGAGCTACTTGTTTTCTTGCAAGATTCCGATACAGACGGTGAAATCCACTCTCCCAATTGATAGTTCACACATTACCCTCTGGAGCAGAGAGAGGTCTGAGAGATCTGGCCCTGCTCTTTTTCCTGGCTCTTCACTTCCCTTGCTCCCAAGGTGATTTGTAGGTGTTGAAAGTGTGCAGGTCTCTGTGCTTGACTCCTACACAGTCGATGGAATTCTTGGTTGTTGTATTAGACAGTTTTCAGTCATCTCTGTACGACATCAGTAATGCAAAGAGACTTTGCTGGGCCAATGAGTTGAACTTCTACTGGCCCAGTGCCCAGTACTGGAGTAATTCCTGCTTCATATACCAGAGAGGAAATGCAGACCCTTAATGTGTTCTTTACCACAGTGTGCTTCCCTTCTAATGCATTCATTTGGTTAGTTGGGAGTAAAATAAATCAATAAAAATTTTCCAAATCTCTGCCTCTGAGACACACAGAGGATTCAAAGTATTTCACGTCACTGGGGGAAATGTACAGTGATTCATAACAGATTACAAGACAGGGTCAGGAAGAGAAAACACACCCAACTGCTACTTTGGACCAATGCTGGATAGCCTTGGCATTAAAGACTCCTGTGTCTAGCCAGCTAAATTTCTGCAACACTGCTCTATAAAGAAACTTTTCTTAAGCCGTGCTTGTTATTTCTGTTACCTAATTTGCACATTCAGCAGCACACTGTAGCTGTTATGGAGTGGGGTCTGTATTTCTGCAAATGGCAGCCAGCTGTCTTTCAACTCTGCAAATTTCTTTGCAGCTTATTTATAAACTGTTTGAAGGCTGACCTAATGCTCACTTAGCACAAAATAAACCCTGGAAACATGTGGCGCCACAAAGCTGCCAAGTCAAACACTTACTGCATTTTTGTAGAAGAAATACAGCACCATGTTGGCAAGTCGGGAGTAACACCAGTGTCCATGAACAAGTAAGAGCTTCTCCAAATGCCGGAACCTTGGGATTGCAAAATCACTTGCCATCACTGCCTTCAATGAAAGAAAGAGTTGGAATCATTAGTGCAAAGTGCCCCTTTCAATACCAGCAAAGAATCTAGTCATCCTCTCAACTCAATATAAATGTTAAGTCGATGGAAGTTGTGGTGAAGAGGAGTCAAATCCATCACAGTGCACCTGAAATGCAGCTACTGCTTTGCAATACCTATAAATACCCAAAACCAGGCTGCTCTACAGAACATGTGAGAAGATCTGGTCCTTGCCCAGAGGGGATCTCAGTCTACGTCCTGGTTGGTGACAAAGAGCAGGCAAGTGAGAGGTGGGAGAACGGCAGGGTTACAGCAGCATGAGCATGAAGGCACAGAGTACCTATGTGAACATCTTGGTGGATGTAAAATCTCTCTCTGCAAAGCTACAGGGATACTGTCAGGACAAACTGAATTTCCAAAGGGAAATGAAATGAAAAAAGCAAGATTAAGTGGTTGCATCTTAACTACTGGACCTTAACTACTGGACTTTAAGAGGCAAAACAATAGAAATATTAGTTTTCATTAGCATTCGTAATTCTGGCTCACAGAGTTCACTTGGCTTTCCTCTCAGTCCCTCATTTTGAGTGAATTTTTAAATCACATGCTGTCTAAAACTCTCCATGAAAAATCATGCCAGACGACACTCCTGTGGGACTGTGCAGCCTGCCAAATCACATTGACAAAACGAATCACACAATTTCTCTCTACTTCTGACTGACTAAAATTCAAGGCACTGTACAACTAGACGAGAACTTGTAAGCGATGATGCATCACAGTCGTTTCATGAGCCTTCATATCACTAGGATCATATTAAGAGGTCATGTTATATTGTTTTCTATTTCATTTCTAATTTCGGTATCATCTTTCTTCTCACAGTTTAGCAGAATATCACAAAAGGTAAATTATCTCCAAAGGTCCAATGTCTTCCTCATACTCTACAGAGTGTATTTTGGCTATATTTTTGAACAAGAGATGCTTTCCTTTTAATTTTTTCTAAATCCTTTTCTTAGTAAATCATTAAAATGTTTCAATTTTCCCAAATAAGTACCTTCAGAAACTATTAATATAAACTGTAAAACAGGATGCAAGAGAAGCTGAACTAATCTAATATAATTTAAGCAAAAGAGGTATATAAACACAACGGGGCACTTTCTAATATGTTGACCTATCCTAGGATTTCTCAGGTACTGAGATACAGCTGTTATAACCTCACTACATAGAACAGTCTGTTCTGTCTTGCAGACTTTATAAAGCTGTCTTGCAGTTTGAGATGTGCCACATCTGCTTCCTTCTCCTTCACCCAATCTCATTCTATTCCAGTGTTAAGACAAAACTGTTAGCTTCCTTTAATTTTTGTGTTTTTATCACATTACTTCACAACATGTGAAGGTGTCTGTTTCTTTAATTCCATTTTGATCAGAGTGAGAAAAACGGAAAGATAGCGTTATCCAATTACATCTTCATGTTTGTTTCATCTCAAAATATCCTCTTGATTTTCACATTTTGGTTTTTCCTCCAGCTTTTTCACAGGAAAGTGATTCAGCTTCCTCACGCTTCCCCCCTCCATAGAATGTGGAAGGAAAGTAAGTCAGACAGTATTGCTGTCTTAGACGTCTGAACGCTCAATGCCTTTTGAGTACCTACACATGTAAGATTCTAACAGTTGTTTATAGTAAAAAGGCTTGCATGGTTCCTTAGGACCCTGCAGTAAAGGAAATGATCTATAAACATTTTCCACTCTGTTGAACTTTGATTTAGAAAAAAAAGGAGGTATTTTAATGGGTTAATGGGCATATAGCTTTCAGATTTGAATACATCACAAAAGCCAGGGGCATTTGAGGACTAGCTATTGGAAGTGTATGAGCTCAACTGCAAGTAGAATAATGGGAAGAGGAGTTAAAAAAAATGCTATGAGCATTATATCTCTACATTAGGAAGAAAAGTGAAAGGATAATACTGATTAAAGCTTGAGCCAAGAAGTTAGGGGCGGACGTTTTTGAGTTACAGGCTTGAAGATGACCCCACAAATACAGTCTCTTCTGGGTTCTCTGCAGCCTGGACTGCCTTCAGGGTGACCTTGCAGAAGTTATGTGGAGCTCTTAGAGCCTTGTGAAGACTATGTAACAACAAACAAACGCTGTATCAGCTTAACACAAGACTCTCTTTTCCTGCTCTCTCCATCCATCAAAGTCAGACTTACAGGAACTATGGCTGTGATGCCATATGCACAATGAATATTTGAATATTCCTGCAGTAGCTGTTTTCCAGTCTGATTTACATCTGCTACCTTGTTCGGAGAAGTATTTTTAAAGGATTGCTGGACTGACATCTGTCCGTCCGACTGACGGACATACATTTGTATTGGAAATCGCTTCGAAGCCACCCACTGGTTGAGGACAGAATGAGGAGGGAGAAAAAGTGTAATAGCTCTACTGGGTCAATCTGAAGCCCATCTTCCTCAGTGTCTAGTCTCCAACAATGGCCAAGAGAGGATGCCTTAGGAAGAGTATATGGATATGAAAAACACCTACTGACTTTTCTCCGAAGTGCTGTCCCAGCTTCTGGTGATCTGTATCTCAGAAAATTCACGCAAGTGGCATCCAAGTTCATGGCTTGGTTAGATTTTTATTCCATACATTTGTATTTTTAACCCAGTTAAATTATAGCATTCCCAAAGTGTATGCTCCCATGGAGTAAAGTTCTAGAGCCAACTTGCACACTTAGTGAGAGAGGTCTCTCTTTGCTTTCGAACAAAACATCCATCCAGAATTGCAAAAATGCAATCTGGGTCAGAGAACCACCCACTGGTAACTAAGTTAAGGAGTACGCTCATCTGCTCAGGTCCTCAGGATGGCAACACTTCTCGTCTTCTCTGAAGACCTCTTTGTCATACTCATACTCAGCTACTCTATTTTCTCATGCAACCTGTCTGCACCTACCCCAATTACAAGGTTAAGTTGTGGAAATCAGTTATCACCCACACTCTCTGCAACTTATTGCCACTTCCACTGCTGGCACTGCAACTAAACTGAACTAGCAGTAGAGGAGACAGAAGCGGCATTCAGAACGCTGAGTAGCTTTGTTATACACCCTATACACACACATCCTTTTCGGGATAGCAGAAATTTCTCTTACACAGTGGTAAATGCAGTAACCACAGGTTGAATACATCCAAAAGACTGTGGAGCAAGTCCGTCTATCTTGCTGTTCCCTGTGGCAGGAAATTGGGAGAAAACCAAAACTTGGAAGAGTGCCATAGGGAGCAGCGGTTCTGCAAAGGCCTGCAATTTTCTCTTTCTTCACTGGTCTGCTGTCAGAACAGGCTGTCTGAGTGAGCGAGATGTGTAGGTGTCTAGACTAAAGGACCATCACACCATGGAGATTAGCTGCCTCAGTTGGACAGGCTTGTGCAGCTATTCCACAGGAAGAGTATAACCGAATAATGCAGGAGACAGGAAGAATAAATCCAGAATAAGATGAATCTTCATTTCCTGTATAAATAATGCATAGTTGAGCCTTTTTAATTCCTCAAAACCAGTATTTAACAAGTTATTTCTTAAAACATACTGCTTAGAAGGATCTGGTGAGTTGAATTTTCTGAGGAGAAGGCACCATGTTTAAGCTCACCACAGATTTAAAACACAGGCTCAAAGTCAAGCTGAAGGTATCCTTATGAAGTGCAACTGGCCCTCCTCAGCATAACTTCTGCTGGCTATCCAAAGGCAGCTTGGTCAAGCTGACTTATGGGAAGCACCTATCCAATCCTTTGCAAGAGAATGTGTTGCAATAAGAAATAAAATTACCTGCATGCCTTCTTGACCAGAGATCCCCACGCCAACATCTGCCACTTGGATCATACTGACATCATTAGCACCATCACCTAGAGAAGACAAGATACAGTTTTGTTTGTCATTGGCAGACCAGTAACAGTTAGTGGCAGCAAAGCAAAGGAAAACTAATGTTGGGTGCATATAGGAAGGAAGAGCTGGGGTTGGAAAGAATCTATGTTTGGAACACAACATTCAAAGCTTGGCAAGGCTGCCAGGACATTCTCATCTTTGTAGATTTTTATATCATGACAAACAAAAATAAGCCAAACACCTCTCTCTTAAATAAGACCTAAGATACAAGTGTCAGACCTGAAGTGCACAAACACTAAACATTTTATGTGCAAAAACAACAAGTCCTGCTGCCCAATAACTGTCGACCTGCAATCAGGTATGATTACGAGTGAAATGTGCAAGGAGACCTAAAGCCAGTGGTGATGCCTACACAGCAAAAAATAAAATAAAATAAAATAAAGAAGTAGATGAATTCTTGACTTTGGCTGGCCACTCTGAGCTCCCTGATACACCAGCACAGGCAGATCTAACAGCAGTGGTTGCAGAGTCATCATCCCTTGCTCTGCTTCCCATCATGATATCACAAGTGATAGGTACCTTAGAAAGGATACCAGAATGGGACATAAATCTACTGCTTAACCTCTGAACTTTACATCTGGTGTACTAATGGAAACTGAAACTGTTAGCTGATGACAACACACTAGGTTTTAAATTGCAGTGGCTGAGAAGGGCATTCACATCTCACTTCACTTCCCCTGCTGTTGGCTCTTGTAAGAGTGGTATCCACTTACTTGACAAAGCTCATCAATTTGCAACTGTGAGACACAGCCTCAAGTTAGCTCATGTTGGTTAAAAGTGAAGATGGGACAACTCGGGTTTTAAGTAAGAGACAGAGCTTGAGTTCAACCCGCACAGGCTCAAGCTGCTCAGAAAGAATGAAAACACAAGCTGCCTGATCTCCACTGGTGTTTCTAAGCATGCTGGATAATTCAAGTTAGCCAGCCAGACTTTTTTGGCAACATAAGCAAATGATTATTTCATGGTCAGTCAAAGGTATAAATTCAGCATGAGGAAGGCAGATCTGAGTGAGATTTAATGTAGTGAGTATAAGGATTATTATAATCAACACACATTTGGTGATATGGCTATCAATCACAGCCATTTGGCACTCACAGTATGTACTTAAGAGATTCCGATGGGTAGGTCCAACCCACATGTTGCTGTGTCTTCGTTGCTATCATTAACCAAGATAGGTAGATGAAAGCTAGGGTGTTTGTGACAACAGATGCTATAGTCATGTCTTCTAATATAACAGAAGCCTAAACCTGAGATAGGAGAAGAAGAGCTAGTTGACTTTTCTTATGTAAAAATCATGGAGATGTGGAAGATGCTGCCAGATTTAAACCAGGGTGACTGACGAAATCTCCCCTTTGCCAACCAAACAAGAGAAGGTATTAGCTGGGAAGAAGTGTAATAGTTGGCAAGTTGGCATGATGCCACTCACAAATCTGTTCTCCATACAGACAGAGGGCCAACTCATGTCCCATGCTGTATGGCTAACTTGTGACGAAAAACGCAGGACCTTGAGTTTAATCATGACTTGCTGAAACGACACTGAACACAGTTTTGTCCTGAGTAATACACTGACTGCTGTTCTGCATAGTATAATTGAACTCTTCATAGCAGTGTTTGAACATGCCAAAGTCACAGAGCGTAGCTTGGCCCCCACTACCTAACTTCTGTAGGAAGGAATCCGAAATATTACTTCAGAGCTCCATATCTGGTTTCAATAAAAACATCAGAATCATCAGAAACACTTTCAAACAAAATCAGAAGCTATTATTTGAGTTGTGAGGCAGCTGAAAGGATCCCTTTGCAAGTCAGAAAAAAACAAAATTCTTGAGGCACAGTATATATCAAGGAAGGCTAGTTTAAACTGAGATATTTACCTATTGCCAAGGTCATCGCTTTGAGTTTGTCTCTGACTAGTTTCACTACCATGCTCTTTTGGAGTGGGGTAGAGCGACAACACAGTACTGCACGGCATCGCTTGGCTAGAGCAAGAAATTTATCCTCTAGTGTAGGTTCCAGGGCATAAGCTAGAGTCCTTCCATCAATCACTAGGCCCAAGCTGGAAAGCACAGGGGAAGAAGGTGGATAGAGAGGGGTGAACCCAATAGTCATGTTTCCAGTAGCGTCGTCTATTGGGTTGTTTGAAAATTTAGACTCTACACATTGCAGACACTGTTCCAGCAAGATAGCACATGTCTCCTGAAAAAAAATCCAAAATAAATATGCTTGAGTGGCAGGAACATATATTTGAACATTTGTGCTTCCTATACATTTAGGCATAAGAAATACTGGGAATGTGGTATATTTGCTGCACTATACAAGTTTTAATTTCTAATATTCTTTTCTTCTTCTCTACTCCCTTTGAATACACTTAATTCTTGTTGTAGAAGATATAACAGCAAGGGGTACACGAAAGCTTAAAATCTAATTCCTCTTTAACATGCAGTATTGTACGCTAAACTAATTTCTTTTAGCTCCATCTCAGAATAACAGTGCTGAGGAATGATATAATCAGTATTGGTACCAAGTTAAGCATGGTGATGAGCACCCTGTAAACGCCTACAATTCAAATCAAATACTTATGCATTGTTAAAGGCCAATTAAAGGTTATTTAAGCTGAATTTAAAGTCTTTTCCCTAGCTATACTCAACTAAAAGATGTTATTGCTAATATCTGAACATTTAATATAAAATACTATTGCTCTTACAGCAAAATATGACAAAAAGAGAAAGAACATGGAAAAATCAATTTACCAGTTCAGCTGATATACTCAAGAAGGGAAAATGCTCTTATTTTTTCTTCCTTTTACAAAGGAATTGGAGCTGGACACTGTTGGCCTACCTCTCCTCTGCTGATATGAAGTCCAATTTTATCTCCCCATTAAAGGACTACAGCACTATCAGTCTGGTTCCTTGTATGTTTGACCATATCAGTAAAGTCTTTGTGATTGTCTGCTTGCAACAAGTTGAGCACAGGAAAGGTCAGTAATTCAGAAGAGTTAGAAGAGGTCTGTTAGGAAGCAAGGCCTTACTGTAGATGTGGTTTTCAGACTCTCAGTGCTAGCACTGAAATTTAAGTATTGCTTCTATCTCCAGAGAAAAAGCCACCTGAGAAAACATGAACGACTGAGTTATCTAAATACTACAGTTCAGTGATTTAAAATAAAGCATAAATTCTCAATAGGTAGTCAATTGTTTTCTTCCTCAACACATGTTTAATAACAGGTTGCTTTTGGAGACCCAGTGGTGCCAATAAGTGAAACTAGGGAATTTTTTGAGAATACAGACCAAAGAAGGGCTTTTATGCTGTTATGGCATATTTTAAGTCATGGCAGAGCCCACTACCCATACATGCCTTCAATAGGTTTGTGATGCATGACACTATGATCTAACAGCATTAATTCACTGAAAAGTATTCAAAGTCATGTCCTACCTGAAAATTACGAATGAAGCAGGAAAAAAGAAAAAAAAAGAGGGAAAGGAAAAAAGCCATCAAACTTTTAATTGTACAAGTTGAAAATAAAGCAAAGCTAGTTCACAAGTAGACTTCAGCATAGTATTGGATCTGCTTACTGGTGATTCAGCATTCAAAGTGATGATTTCCTCATCATGATCTAGTAGCTTGCAGGCATAAGCAATATTAACAGCTGTTTCTTGCTTGTCTCCAGTGAGAACCCAAATCTGCAACCCAGCTTTGCGCAAGTTTGCAATGGTTTCTGGAACACCATCCTGTAAACGGTCTTCAATACCAGTTGCACCTAAACACAGAAAAAGTAAATTAGTCCGTATTAAATAAACACGTAGGCTTTACCTCAAACTGTAAGAGAGAACTCCAGGAGGTAAGTTTGGCTTTTTCAATCAACAGCAGACACCTTTCCTGGTAAACAGCTAAACTAACAATGCACGTGAGATATGGGCAGCTTTTTGGGGTATCCAGACAGAGAGGTAGGAAGTAGCTGCGGCAAATGTTTGCATCAACAGCCAACAACACATCCAGAATTCAAAGCCTCTAAAGTAATCTAATGCCATTTCTAGTCTCAGAGGTTCACGAGGTTGGTGTACCTTTGCTTAGCACCTCTCTCTTTTATCTTTGCCATTTCTTTTGCATGTTGCTAAGATATTGTTTCTAGGAGCTAGTTTCAGTTCTAAAGGGTCTTGACTTCCTCTCCTCAACTGAGAGAGGGTTGGGTCACTAGAGATTTCTGCCCTTCAAGGAGGAATGACAGCAGAATAGCAGCTTGGCAATAGTGCATTAGGCTGCAGACAGAAACCCTTTCCTGCCTTGCCGCTGCTCTTGGTTCTTGCATAAGGACACTGGTTGCCAAATGTGTTACAGCAGGGAATAAATCATAAATCTGTTGGCCATGATGTGAAAGCACAGTGTGGCTTTTTCAGGCTTTCAATGTATCTTGCTACTTGTATGTTTATTACACACTGAATATCTTTCCTATGCTTTCATACATCAATTGAAGGAGACAAGATTTTCAAATACTACAGCAAAAGCAGTTTAGGATCAAGTTTAGTGTCACCACAGATACATCAGTACCCCCTGAAGTTTCAGAGAGGCTTAATGTGCGTAAATGTAAGTCCTCACTATCAGATAACCTGGAGATGAAAGGCCTGCAAATTATCTGGAACAACAGCAAAAGCAAAGTAAACTTCTCTCGGCTATTTATTATTTCTATGGTTCTTTGGAGAAAAACATTTCAGCAATAGAAATCCATCTGAAGTCTGAGCACCAGTCATGTAGATGAAAACATTCTTACTGCAAATGCCATGGAAGCTCTTATCCAAACAGTATGCAAGGTAAAAGATACTCCTTTTCCTGATGCACTTTTTTATTCATATGGGCTAATCATAAGTGATCACTGCAAGATACAAACCACAGTCTGAAATTGTTAGGGAATGGTTCCCAACAGAATAGGTAGGTTATTTCTGGCGAGAGCTCCTTTTTATTTGTCCAGCAGTGGTTAGTTCCATCTCAGGTATTCTTTTCAGAGTGCAGCCAGAGCTAACAGGCACATCCATGGTGGCATCTTCCTGATTAATGTGGTCAGGTGGAGAACTAGTCACTTCTTGCTTCCCTTTAAGTCAGAGGAGAGAAACTGGCACTTCTAGGGTGTGATTCATGTAATCCTAAAGCAGGTAGCTAAGGCAGATCAAATGAACTGCCTTTTTTTTTTTTTTTCTTCTCTTTCCCCTGGTTATACAGGGAGCCTTGGAGATCTGCATTGGACGCATCAGAAGCTGGATGAGGTGAGTCTCCTCTCCCAGAGACTGACTGATAAGTTGGAAATTAGTGAAGGTTTTATCTTCGGTAAGTGTTACGATTGTCCCAGTTACATCTCCTTTTGATAATAATGGATATATACACATTTTAGAACATCAATGTTTTCAACATTTCAACAAAGTTAAGAAAAAGTATGACTTAGTCCTTGGAATACTTTTTACATACACAGATTCAAACTATATCACTGTGAAGTACTGCAGTCCTTTTCCGCAGAACCCACAGGCCCTGAGTGCATGTGCTGAACCTGATGCATATGAGAGTTGATGCCTCTCTCAAATGCGCCTTATGAGCTTTGCTTTACCAGCGTCTCTGGTGCCCCTGGAGTCATGGAACTCTCTGACATGTTAAAGTGGCACTAAAACTAATGAAATTCTGCAGACAGGCTGGGCCAAGTACTTCTTCTCCTACTTAGATCAGCAGTTCCCATTTATGCTGTTGTGTCAAATTCATCTCTGGTATTACTCCACTGACTTCACTAGTTATAAAATGATTGCATGAGCAAGGCAAACAGGGTATGTCTGTTATGTTAATTATAATCCTATTCCTTTGTGGTGCTGCACAAGACAGTCATGACAAAGTCCAGAAGAGGCCAATTTCTGTACTGTCAGAAACCATTTAAAGGAAAGAAAGGATTTTATAGCCAAGCTTTCAGAATTTTTCAACACGTTTTAATTTCATATCCAGCTCTCATTTCATTACCTAGCAGATGCAGATTCTTCTCTATCCTCAGCGCTGACTGAAACAGAAGTTCTTCACGATTTTCAATAGAAGATTCTGCTTCTAAATGACTTTTTAACCAACAGGCATACTCTTCCTTGCTGAGAACCTATTTAGAAGAGGATGTGAGGGCATAGTCAAAATGATGCAGAGGCATTCATACTTTATTGAATAAAATGAAAAAAGTTATAAATCAAGAACAATATATTAATAACTGCCTTCAGTAATTTTTGTCAAGGCTCTCCTTAAAAGCAAACTAAGAGCATGCATTTACTTACTCTTTTTGCAATACACAGGGTCCGCAGCCCATCTACAGCATACAGATTAAGGTAATTCTGGGTTTTGCTTTGGATTTTTTTTTGATGTTTGCCCTGAGGGTCATCTAGAAAAGAATAAAAGAAGAAATTAGTGATTGAAAAATAACAGCGGCTGAATGGCCTCAGAGAATAAAATTGTGTCTATGGTATTCTCTGTACTGGTGCTTTAAAACGGATACTTTCAAAGAGCTCCTGATTTCTCCTGGGAAACTTTCAAGTGAAACATTCCACTTAGAAAAAAAAAACAACAACTTTTTCTACAGTCTTTTCTTCCTTCTTTATTCAAAAGTCGCCACCCATACGTGTTAAAAAGACCTTTTATTCTTAAGCATTTGTTTGCCCTGAGTACTTTGGGATATCATGATTAATCTCCACAGCAAACAATAATGTGAGAAAGAGAAGTATGATTTCAAATGGGCTATTAGCAAATGCTTCTGCACGTATGATCATGTGTAGAAAAATGACACTTATTTTAAAATAGCACTTAATTTTCCACCAAGGTTAAGACCTTTCTCAAAAGAACCAGAAAAGTGTTCAGTTTCGCGTATCTAAGTACAGGAAGGTAAGAACTCAAAATCAGGACTGAGCATCTGTTTCTTTTCCCTCTCTAGCGACTGGTTCGATGCGCTCACACTGTGATTGAGAAAGATTAATACATATGATAGCTATACCTTTTGTTCCATTTTATTACCTGCAATGAGGTCTTTGAAAGACAAAAAAAGGTGGCATGTATCTTTTTTATCATCTAGGATCAAGACAGATTCACGTACGATGTACTGCCATAGCAATCTTCAGTAATATGAATTGCAATGGCAGTGTTAAAGGAAACTTACAGGTTTTCAGATTGAAACCATTGAGCGAGAATGACTGGTACCTTCAGGCAATTCTTCCAATCTTCTGATGCTATTCAAAGTATTTTTTCAAAAAGTCTGCATGTTTTGGGAGGTTTGTAGAATCACTTCAGGATTATAATTTTGTAATTAGAGCTGTTCTGAACACTGTATTAGCGTTACTGGTACTTGTACAATAATCAGTCACAGCATTAGGTGGATGCCACTCATCACCAGAAGTCTGAACACTTGAAGAGGCCTAATACAGGTGATCTGAGCTGACCGCTGGATATGTCCACCTCTCTCAACTGACTGTACTGGGAACCTATGGTCACTATGCCCCTACCTTATGCAGTTAATTCAAGTATCTAAATTAGATGATAGGAATATCTTCTTGTTTTCAGTTCCCATGTTCCCAGAGTGCATTCATATTCAATTTGATCTTGCTATGTGGGACTACGTATATATATGTCTATCTGTCTCTCTGTCTATAAACATAGACACATGCAGCACTTTCGTACTTAAACAGAGTCACAGTGCCTACGTGGCCCTTTAGAGGCTCCAGTACAAACTTTGAGAACTATTGATATTGTTGGAAGGTAGGAGTTAGGAGTCTGGAATCCCAATAGTCTGTTTTTTGGTCCTGTTATCTCAACCACCTATCAGCACATGTTACTCATTATATAGCTGTTTTCTCACCTTTAAAGACTGTCCCATCCTCTCTAGGTCTGTAAAGTACATGCCCAGCTGTTCCTAAAGAATGACATAAAGATTGCTGAAGGTACTTCACGCTTTCCTTCATTTCAGTTCCATCTCTAATCTAGTCCTGTGGTGAATACTGTAGAAATATGCTGGTGGGCTTGTCTGTCTATTAATCCTACCTGTGCTATCGGTATAGATTTTTTTCAGAAGGGCAATACAGATATACTATTCTGGAAGAACATCCTCGTGAATATTATTTGCAATTGGAGAGTCATTTCTTACACTGTGGCTTGTCACACTCACCGCACCAGATTCCTTCAGAAATTATTATAATGGCTCACAATCAGGTTCAGCTGCAACATGCAGTGGAAATATGCATATTCTAAACTGGCAATCTAATACAGTTACATATAGCTTCTTTTCTATTTGCGCATAATAGTCTCTTTTGGCATATGTGACTTGGCTGTTTAATGTAAGAAATGTTTTTCTGGGAGTACTGCAGTAAACCCAAGAGACTTCTTGTGTTAGTGAGTCAGCTTCTTTTAAACTCTAAAAGAATAAAATCGACAAGCACTGTTCCTAATTTATTGTGATAAGTTACTGTTCTGGAGAGAAATGCCATATTTCTTGCATATTCCACAGGAAATTATCTTATGGAAGTGGCCATTCCAGTCATTCACTGATTTCACTGATTTCAATTAGTGCAAGCTTGAACAGCTGCTTAAAAACACCAAAAGCTTTTCTATCACTTTAAGGTTAAGTGGTATTATTAACTAGATCTGCCTGAATGCCATGGGCACTAATGCAGTGCTCATAATGTCAAATGTTTATACTGCCTTTAATGTATGAAGGCAGACACTCTCTCCAAGTAGAGATGTACACAACCTTCTCCATGTGAATTCTCAATTCCGGCCTGAAAGACTGCATCTCCCTTCTCCATCAGCATACCAATAAGAGCTAAAATGAGTTTTAGCTCTTCATATGCCTCATCAGTCTTACTGTGAAATTCATTTTGTGCTCAGAAGTTAAAAGGGGGAAGGAAAGAAATCTCTCACAGCCATAATCCAGTTGTTGAGATTTCTTTTAGTTGGGATGCAGTTTTCTTTGCCTAGCAGCACGACCACATGCACTATAGAAGTGAAAACCAGTAAATAAATCTAGAGAATGAGAGAGAGAGAGTAGGATTCTGCTTGCTCCATTTCCTTCCATAATCATAAGTTTTAGAAAGCCAGCCCAGTCATTGTTTTCTCAATGACTTATGTTCACAGTTCCTGTGTGAGTTGGTTATTGACTCAAACAGTAACTTTCTTATTCATGATTCACATGGTGACTGTTGAGACAAAGTAAAAACAATACACGCTTGGGAATCATTTCAGGTCTTTTGAAAATATTTGTATGCTATCAGAAAATGTCAGGTTCCACAGTTGCAACTAGATACAGTTGTGGCTTTTGACAGGCAGAAGAAACCGAATGAATTCTGAAACTGTAAGTTTTGAAGCTTGCTGGTGATTTCTGATTTTACGTAAGATACAGCTGAAGCTACAGCTTAATATTTCTGAATCTGATTTTGGCCTGTTGCTTGTTAGGATATAGCCATGCAACATGGTGTTTGAGTATGCAGGTTATGGACATTATTATGGTGCCCTGGTCTTTCAGTCTCAGCATACAAGCACTGCAAAGCCTCAAAAAGCAGAACTGACTTGTACACAATTTACATGTCATTGAGGCACTAAGCTATTAAAGAGCACTAGGATTAGCTGACATGTTGATTCACATATTGGTCAACTGCTTCCAATGATAAATGCCTGAATTTTTTTAGTATTTACATTTCTTCTCACATTCACATTCCATGATCAATGGAGAACAGAATGAAACCACTGACAATATGTATATATACAGCAAATCCAGCAATATATACAATTTTCATAGCATAGATCTGCTGAGGCTCCCTCTCCCTCGGCGATACACCCCTATACTGTGAGAAAGATGCAATTGTCTCAGGAAGTAACAAAATATCCACTGATGTTAGGATACTGCAGGCAGAGGCCATGAATTTGTTTCCAAGACTGAAGTTGTTCAAAAGAAATGTCAAACATCCTTTAGACGAATCAGCTGAAACTTACAGAATTACTAAAGCCAGCAGTGGATTACAGGGCTGGAAAGTAAGGGAAATTACTTATTAAGTTTCAGTGACTGCACTTTCCATTGTTTGGAAAAGCAAAATATACTAAAACTCACAGTTCAGTTTGGGTTAAAAACATTTAAAAAATGCACAATTCCTAAGTCACATTTAATTCACTTGTCTGTAAAGATGGTGGAAGATCACTCTGTTTGCCCAGTAATGAATGGCATTTACTCGCTGCTAACAATGACCTTCAGGAACTCCGCCGTTTTCCTTCTCTGACATATACCACCTTATGTTGTAATATTGCAGCTTTGGGGGTCTAATTGGCCTTGTTGCTTTTACTCAGTTGAGTCCTAGACTCATCTTGGAATTTGCCTGAAAATTCCTTGATCCATTGTATCTACTGTGAATGAACACAGTAGCGTTAAATATAGTCTGTTTTATTTTTTCGTTTTAAGGTGATGGACAATGTATGTGAGACTCACCATAAAATCTCCCCTTTTTTTTTAGTTCTTGTACGGCTCAGTAGGATTTTTTATACAATTCTAAGAACTCATTTCCAAGTATTATTTTCCAGGTATGTTACTGGTAAGTCTTCCCAGTATTCTCTGTTAGCACTTTGGAGGCAAACAAGTTACCACAGATGCTCTATGTACCTCTGTGATATCAGATCTTTACCAGAATATTATTCATGAATACTTTGTTGTTAGTTAAGGACAAGTTGTTCTTAATTTTTTGGCTCTGCTTTGACTCATGTGGCTGTAAACACAAAACTAATGCCAACATTTTTCTGTAGTTCATTAAACTAAAATTACACAGTATAAGCCTTTCACCATTGTTTACTCCAGCTAATGTAAAACTAACCGCAAAGTCAATGCATTAGGGACACAAGGGAAGTACCTCTAGCACATTAGGTTTCTGTCCATTTACTCTGGGATAACCTTTAAACACTGGTTAGCTTCAGTGTTGAACATGCAGTAAATTAGATACAAAATCTGCAGTTCACGCAAACTGAAACCTCTGTCTCTCCCATAAATTCTGAAAGCTTACAGAGTTTTTCTTGAATCCAAATGATTACAATTAGCAGCTATGTAAAGTTGTCTCTGTTTCATGCAACATTTGAGTGCGGAGCACTTTGGAAAAGCAGTCCATGTTTGCAGCTTCATGTCTGTTCCCTACTCTTCAACTACATCGTTGAAGCATGTTTGAAGCAAAGATTTGTAGTCTGAATAGCATCTCCCCTTCTTATTTTGCCACAACCTTTCTGTTCTGATGGCTGACTGAATTGATTCACAGTGTCCTTTAGCATCATAGTCAAACCAATACAGAAGTGTGTATTTATGCAAACATACTGCAACAAAAGGAGGTTAAGATTCACATATGAAACAGCTAGAGGAGCTACAGTAAAAAGTATTTGGGTTTCATATAAAATATTGAAATATCCAAGCAGTGCCGGGCAAGTTTTCCTGAAATGCAAATCGTTTTGGCAAAGTCTCAAAACATTCCTTCAAAATAACATTTGCCAGTAGAGGATCTTGTACAGAAATTAATTTAACTCATTCTTGTAAGGTAAAGAACCAGTAATCTGTTATAGGAAATTTGCTATAATAACAACGTATTTTAAAAAACAGAGATGACTGATTGATTGCCATTCCTACCATTCTCTATTCTCACAAACCAAGCAGGCAGGTCTGCTTGCTAGAGAAGTGCAATAAAACATGATCAGTTCTTTAGCAGTTAATTACAACCCCCCACCTCCTCCAAGCTATCTAAGAGGTATACCTGAAGAACAAGGTGGAAGAAGATCCATAATAACTGAATCTGCTCCTTTAGTGTAAACATTTATCTCATCTGTGAGGGGATGTCTGACCACAACCGACATCCTCTTCCTGATGGAATCAAAGCCCAACGTATGCAATACTTCAAAGTTCAGTGTTCCCAGGTGAGGTAGCTCCACTGATACCTGGTCAGACAGCCTTCCAACCAGGGAACAGTTATATGCCCTTGCTGCATAGACGAGAGCAGCTTCGTCTGGACTCTCTGCTTCATAACGGAGTTCTCCTTCCTCAGGTCCACTCCCTATAGCTGTCCTGCCTTGCTGTGAGCTGTAGCCATTGTTATTCATCTGTGCAGAGTATGCCAGCTTCTCTTCCAGTTTTAATAAAGTGCTCTCAGTAGATGTAGATGAAAGAACACTTAAACCAAATCTGTGCACTGATTTACTGGTAGCTAGACTAGATGAACTGCTGCTGTTAGATCCAGAGGTCAAGCGGCTTGGAGTGAATCTTCGGATGAAGTCTTCTATGGTTTTTACTGGCGATTTTAGTTCAAATCGATCTCTAACCTTGAGAAGTAAGAAAAAAAAACAATGAACAAAACCCAAAGAAAAGCTGTACAAGAACTCAGACGTTTATACTCAATCTGAGTAACTCAAACTAGAAAAGAACATTTCCTTTACAGCAAAAAGTAATGCCATTTGTATTTTGAGACAGAAGAGTAAATGGACAGATCTGACTCAGGAGCAAAAAAATTGACTAGAACTTGAGAAGTGTTCCACTGCTGGCCTCTTTCTCTGTGTGAAAGCTTGTATATCTTTGTTAAGCACATTTTTTCTTCTTTGATCTCATCAGATATGACCAATTGACAGACTATTAACACTGGACTACCACCAGCAGTGCATACTAAAAGCTATTGTTAGTAGGAAACGTTGGCCTTCTATGAATATATTCAGTGAAGGTAGTAAAAAAAAGTTGATGCAACAGTTCTCTACTGAAAAGTGTGGTACCAGAAATGTTTTATGAGAATGTGCCAAAGTCAATGGCATTTTCAATAGGGACATGTTGAAATAAATAATTTCCACGTTCTTCTTTTTAGTGTCAAAGCATTCTGTTTCAGTTTTATCACTTACCGCAGTTTACTTAATCTTTTATACAATGTTACCAATTGTAATAAAAAATTCATAGTAATATATATTAAATTATTTTATAACAGTTTAGCATTCCTGAAAGAGCAAAATTCAGCCTTCTTCTTCAAATGTTTCCCTGGCGCAAAAACATGTCATTTCGCAGACTAGTTCACTTTTTATTGCAATTTGGAACAAAAATAAATCTTGGAATTTCCTCCAGAATGGAAATTTCAGCTGCTGGCTAACTAACTTTAATACTACATTCCATTACAGTTTGGTCTTACAGATCATTTTGAGATTTCTTTGTTGAAATTCACATTAATCAGTGATGTTGTTTCAGGCTGATTTAAGTGCTAACAATCATTATTTCTCATAATCAGCTTAAGATGCATTTTTTACACAATTTGAAAGATTTAAGCAATGTTTTTCAAGCATTTTCTCTTCATTTTTTAAAAGGTCTGAGCCTTTTTTA